CGCCGGAAACGGCCCGGGGGCGGCAGCGGGGCGCGTCCCAAAGCCTGCCCGCGTGGCAGGGCGCGGGGCCGGGACGCGCCGGGAGGCAGCGGGGGGAGGGGCTCCGTCCCGTGGGCGGGGCCCGTGGGCGTGGTCTGTTTTGTGGGCGTGGTCGGGAGGCGGTGGCTGTGGTTGGCCGGCTGTATGCGGTGGGCGTGGTCTGTTGTGGTGGGCGTGGCCATGGGCATGGCTGTGGCTGTGGCTGGCCGGCTGGAGGCCAGAGTCCAGGACTCAGGAGATTTTCTTTCCGGTTTTCATAAAAACGAAGGGACTTTTGTGCAGCTGGAGGACAGTGTGTTGATCTCACGGCGCTCTGCTGGCCCTCCCCGAGGCTCAGTCTTACCAGGTTTGATCCTGGGCTGCCCAACCCCGACCCTGCCAGTGAGGGCACAGGGTGCGTGGATCGTGGGGACGGAGGTTCCGCTGTACCCCTCTTGATACCGGCAGCATGATCAACATGCAAGAGGAGGAGGGAGCCGACCCTGAGTCCTGCGGGGCTGCCCACCCGCCCTCTGCCCTGTCCCGCGGGCCTGAGCTGTCGTCTGCCCCCTGTTCACAAAGCTCTGCAGCCCCTTCACCCTCGGCCCTGCCCATGACTCTGCGGGCACAGAGCAGAAGTTCTGCCCACAGGGAATATTCCACCAGGCCCCAGAAAAGTCCCCTGAACTTCCATTCTACAACCTCAGAGTTAAGGATATGCACGGTATAGTGTCCGAGAGGCAGTTTAGGCTGCAGGCTGTGGCCCTGGCTCCACCCTGCCCTGGCGGGCTGACCAAGTGACCTGACCTCCCGTGTGCCTCGGTGTCCCCATTTGGGAAATGGGCCCACCAGTAATACCATGCACAGCACCTGGCAGGGGACAGAGGGCAGCGAGCCTGCTACACCTGTGCCCCAGACAAGTGCTAGAAATATGGACACAGCACAGCCTGCCTGTGTGCTCAGCACATGGCCTGCAGCCCAGTGTCATCAGCCTGTGGGCAGCCCTNTCGTGTCCTTGCGTCTGTCCATCCTCCAGCTCCTGTGGCTCAGCCTTCTGGGGCTCCTGTTCTTTCTCATGATGTGTGCCCTGACCTGCCGACCCTGGCTCTGCCCCCTCCAGGCCCATGGCCTTGGCCAGGTGACTCGCTCTCCCCAAGCCTCAGTGTCCTTAGCACCTAGAGGGGGCAGCAGCAGCAGCAGCCTCCTGGGACTGGGAAGGCCCGGCGGGGACAGTGCATGGGAAACAGCACACAAGCCCTGACACACAGTAGGCACTCCATAGCTACTAGCCGCTCATCCCACTGCACTTGTTAAGCACCTACTATGCGCCAAGCACTATTTGAGCCCTTGGAGTATACCAGCCGCCAACACTGCCGAAGAGCCGTGTTCTAGCAGGCCAGATAGAAATCAGTGGTAAATGTGTAAAAACAAGTCAGTCACGTGTTAGACGTGCTTTGGAAGAAAAGAAAAGCAGAGTTGGGGGACGGGGTGGCAGAGACTTGAAGGAGGGCGAGGTGTGAGCCATGAGCTTCTGTGGAGGAGCGGCACCCCAGGCAGAGGGAACTGCCAGCGCAAAGGCCCCGGGGCAGGAGCGGGCCTGGCAGGTGCGCACGGTATAGTGTCCGAGAGGCAATTTAGGCTGCAGGCTGTGGCCCTGGCTCCACCCTGCCCTGGCTGGCTGACCAAATGACCTGACCTCCCGTGTGCCTCGGTGTCCCCATTTGGGAAATGGGCCCACCAGTAATACCATGCACAGCACCTGGCAGGGGACAGAGGGCAGCGAGCCTGCTACACCTGTGCCCCAGACAAGTGCTAGAAATATGGACACAGCACAGCCTGCCTGTGTGCTCAGCACATGGCCTGCAGCCCAGTGTCATCAGCCTGTGGGCAGCCCTGCGAGGGCCCTGGGCCCTGCTCCCTCGTGTCCTTGCGTCTGTCCATCCTCCAGCTCCTGTGGCTCAGCCTTCTGGGGCTCCTGTTCTTTCTCATGATGTGTGCCCTGACCTGCCGACCCTGGCTCTGCCCCCTCCAGGCCCATGGCCTTGGCCAGGTGACTCGCTCTCCCCAAGCCTCAGTGTCCTTAGCATCTAGAGGGGGCAGCAGCAGCAGCAGCCTCCTGGGACTGGGAAG